GGCAGCCGCCGCACCAGGCGGCGTCCACCGCGCTCGCCGGGCCGCTCCAGTTGCCATCCATCGCCACCATCGCCCAGCCCTGGCTGCAGTGACAGCTGCCGCATCAGGTGGCCTCCGCCGCGCTTGCCGGGCCGCGGCAGCTGCCATCCATCGCCACCATCGCCAGCCTGACTGCAGTGGCAGCCGCCGTTCCTGGTAGCCTTTGCCACACCCGACGCTCCATCGCAGCAGCCGCTGCCACTGCCCGGCGCGACACCGCAACACCCGCTGCAGCTGCAGCAGCCACCGCCGGTCAGCTCTGGCCCGTATCGACCGTGCCGGCGGGCTTCTCGATCCACTGTGTCTGGTTCCCGCCCTTGCGGTCTCCTCTATCGACTTGGTTGACCGAGTTGTCGTCTCAGCAGGTCTACACGATGGCCTCGGGACCGCCACACGTGTCGTCACAGCAGGCGCAGTATTGTGGGTCCTCCAGTTTCGCGGGTCCCTACGGTGGCCTCGACGCGACGCAGTCCACGGGGGACCCCCTGTGATCATCGACCCAGTGCCGCTACTCCGCACTGCTGAGCCGTACCCCTACGATGGTCATAACGAGATGGCGCCGTACCCCCATTGCGGTCATACCCAGACGGCGCCGCGCTTTGCCAAGCTCGCCTTCGCCACCAACGACGACACCGAGGACCCCCTCAACTGGCTTAATCAGTGTGACCAGTTCTTTCGGGGGCAACGTACGCTCGTGTCGGACCGCACCTGGCTCGCTTCATATCACCTCCGAGGCGCCACACAGACTTGGTATTACGCTCTCGAGCAGGACGAGGGCGGCATGCCTCCATGGGAGCGTTTTCGTGAGCTCTGCCTCCTTCACTTCGGGCTGCCGATACGCGGGAGTCGGCTGACGGAGTTGGGCGGTCTTCTCTTCACCTCTACGGTGCAGGACTTCGTCGACCGCTTTCAGGCCCTGGCGTGCCACGCGCCCGGCGTGACGGCTCGCCAGCGGGCTGAGCTCTTCGTCCGCGGTCTGCCGGATCATATCCGCGTGGACGTGGAGCTGCGGGGACCCCAGGACCTCCAGACGGCCATGTACTATGCCTGCGCGCTTGAGCGCCGCGCGGTGGCCATCCAGCAGGCGTCACCGCCCCGGGCCGCTGGGCCGCCACTCTGGCCGGACGTTCCAGCGCAAGGTTGTCCTGATCATGCTTCCGCGGCACCCCTCGCCGCGACCGCGCCGCGCCCGTTCCGCCGGCTCACACCGGCCGAGCAACTCGAGCGTCGCCGCCAAGGTTGTGCTTCAACTGCGACGAGCCCTACGCGCCCGACCACGTCTGTCCGCGACTCTTTTACTTGGAGGTTGCGGACTACATTGAGGATGATGCCGCTGCAGTCGGGCTCGCGACCTGCCCGCCCCAGCTTCCGCGGAGGTGTTTTGGCGACGGTTGATCACGTCAAGGTGTTCCACAAGTGCTTTCCCGCCTTCCAGCTCGAGGACGAGCTGTTTGTGCAGGCGGGGAGAAATATTATGACCGACATGTTAGGGGCTTAACCCAGTTAGTTGTGGCCCAGTCTATCTTATCGTTATTAGGGGCTTAGCCCGGTTAGTTGTGGCCCAGTCTATCTTATCGTTATTAGGGGCTTAGCCCAATTATCGTTATTAAGGGCTTGGGAGTCAAGTAAACCTCTCTATATAAGGAGAGGAGATGTATCAATCTAATCAAGCAAAGACGCAATCATAATTGCTCGGCTTCCTTAGGGAGCCGGGAGACCTAACCCTAGCCGCCTCCTTCCCTGCGCCATCTCCCTCACAGCCGCTGCCTCCTTGAGCACGACGGCGCTCAGCCGGCGGCGGCTGCAAGTTTGCCCACGACCAGCTCCCTCCTTCCCCTACAACCTCCGGCCTAGACCCGGTAGAACCCTAGTTTCTACCAAGGTGCTTGACAAAATGCCTATGAGAATCAAAGATTTTTCCAGTGTTTTGTATTTGGTATAACAGGGCACCTGATTTTTTCTAGAGCTACAGGTTGCTTTAAATTCTTATGTGTGCAACAACCTTGAATTAAAAAAGTTTGTGAGTAAGTGCACCTCTATTAATTTGAGGAGTTCAAGTACAAAGATCTGATTTTGTGTTTTGTTTTGTTTTTGTGACACAGCAGTTCAGATGATGTTCGTTGTTGTCTACTAAGTCTTTTATAAAAGTCAGATGGTAAAAGTTCAAACAAAAAGAATCCCCACAGAAATTCAAATGCTAAAGGAACAAGTCGTAATATGAGAGAAGTTCATAACATTGTTGCAAAAAAATGCTCAGTTTAAGAGACCACACAAAACATTTTATTTTTAAGAAAAATACCATTCAACAATATAAACTATGCAAGTTCGGGGACGATTATACTGTAAACCGTTGAAAAGTTACGAGGAAAATCATACCGAAGAAACATAGTAAAGTCTAGTATGTGAAAACACGCTCAGTATAAAGACACACATAGATCAGTACGAATAGATCGATACGAGTATTTTGTTTTTTGAACCAAAAAATAGCACGATGAGTCTGGCCATATTCAAAATTACTCTGAAATGGTTATGAATTTGAGAAAATGTTCAACATGACTAATTTTCGCATTTTTGATAACTTTTCAACGGTATATTATTTGCATCATTTCGATATTTAAAAAAAATCATGTTTGTAACCAACTTTCAAAGTATTCAATTTTGAACCTAAACCGTATAGAATTAGAAAAAACAATCTATACAAAAAGGTTGCACATTTTCCATAGCTTTCCAACGATGTATTGTTTGCGTCAATCGGACAAACCGTTTGAAAAAAAAATACGAAAATACATTTAGCCCAGCCTTTCACCATTTTTCAAATTACTTTTAAATCATGTAGAATTTGAAAAAAAAATTGTATTCATGGAAAAGCGGATTTTCACAAGCTTTCCAACGCCATCTCATTTGCTTAATTCTGACAAACCGTTTGAAAATAAAGTCCAAAATACGATTCACGTTTTTTAATTTGAAAAAACCAATTTTTTCAAAACTGCTCCTAAAGCATGAGTTTTTTTGCAAAGAAAATTATATATGACTTGTAATATAGATGTCAAGAGCTTTTCAACGATATGTTATATGCCCCATTCCGACAAAATAAATTCGCAAAACCAAATAAGAGGATCAGTTCAGCAAAAATGAAAGCATCAGTACAACCGCTCTAAGTGGTCAGTTCAAGTAGAGTAACAAAATAATATTCTACGCGCTGCTGAACCGAACCGGTGATTCTCCCTCCATCTACTAGTAAAACTCTGCCTAAAAATAGTAATAGAATTAATCGTACGCACATACGACAAATTTCTGTACGATTTACGTATGACAGCATCAGCAGCCGTTCGATGAACTGCATGGACGAGTAAGATCACATCGTACAAAAATCGTATGCTGTATTCTGGTGTAGGAATTAAGGTCACGGGTCACGAGGCCCGGTCAGGAAGAGGAGGCGATGAGGCTGAGAATGGAGACAAATTTGACAAACTTGATCTATAGACGGAATCAAATCACAGAATGAACTATTAATGAAACTATCTCACGCGGCTGACCTTTTTGTGTGACGCCCGACACGAAGGCGCCACACTACACTGTGCAACGCCTCGCAGATAGGCGCTACACCGCAAGCGTCGCACACGTGTGATCAAAAAATTACTAAGTCGTGTGCAGCGCCTGAGAACTAGACGCCACAGTATACAATGTAGCGCCTAGCTCCTAGGCGTTGCACTAGTGCAGCGCCTAGCTCTCAGGCGTTGCACTAGTGCAGCGCCTGAAAGCTAGGCGCCACGGGTCTGCCGCGTAAAATAATTTTACGAATAGTTCATTCTGTGATTTAATTTCATTTATAGATCAAATTTGTCAAATTTGCGGCAGGCCCCACAATGGGACTCCCACACGCCCAGACCGAGAGGGTCAGAACTCCTAAAAAAAAAAGAAGACCGAGAGGGTCAGATGTCGTCGACTCGCAGTCCCAGCGTCAATTATCCCGAGTCCCAGTGTCTCCTTCCTCCTATCTTCCAGTCCTCCTACCCTGCTCGGCTTGCACGCACAGGCACTCGAGCTGGGGTCCATCCTATCCTAGTAGTATTATCCTAGCACGGTAGCACCCCATGGGCTTGGGCCCGAGGTGGTCGCCGTGGGCGGCGTTGCCGTTCTCTCCTCGATCTCGCAAGGGAGGCGGAGGGGGATGGGGATTGGGAGGGCTCAAGGCCATCGGTTGGATCCTCTTCGCCGGCGTCTCCTTCCGTCTGCTCTGCTCCTTCTCTTCCTCTTCGTCTCTGTCGCCGGATATCAAGGAAGGTACGGGATTTCTCTGCCAGTTCTAATTTCAGTTGAGTAAGAAAGTTCAGAGATTCGTAGGGTTTAGGTTTATCTTGTCGGGGGTTTTTAGTGAGGGCGAATTGTTTCGCATTTTTTCTCGCCTGCAGTTTTTGGTGATTTTTTGTTTGTTGGAAATTGCGCCGTATTTTCTTGAGTTCAAGGTTGGAACTTGGAACTTATGTTTTGGTTCCGTGAAATAAGAATTTTACTCTATCGTTCCTGAACGCCTGTCGTGGTCTTAATAAGACTAGTAAGGTTCAGAAAGATATTGGGTGATTGCAGAGGAATAGGGATTGCACGTTTACAGTCTGATTGTTTTGTTGCATCTTGAATGCTGGGGAAATCGGTGTTTGCCCTATCATTTTTTAGCTAAGTGTTATTTTCCCGCGGCTCGATGGGAAGCTCGAAACGGCACTGAGAACAAAATGGAGCAGTGTCGAACATTTTGATTTGATGTATGTACTTTCTAGTATAAAAAGTTGATCTTTTATTTATCCTCCATGTTTGGAAACATTGAACCTTTATTTATGAGCATAGGAGCCGTTATAACTGTTACAGTATATGTGGAATTGTGGATTGCACTAGCCCTTTCCATTAGTTTGGACTTTTGGTTGCGTTGGCTAGTGCATGAAGCTTAACATGGTACCAGACCTAAGGTCTTGAGTTCAAGTTCTGGTTTGCCGTCGCTCTCTTCCGGTTGCACGTGTTGACTTGTCTTCCCCGTCACACGTGAGAGGGGGTGTTATAGTATATGTGGATTGTACTAGCCCTTTCCATCAGTTCAGACTTTTGGTTGCATTGGCTAGTGCATGAAGCTTATCATGGTATCGGAGCTAAGGTCTTGAGTTCAAGTCCTGGTTTGCACAATTTATTTAAAAATTAAAATTGCTGATAGCCCCCCTTTGTGTCCATGTAGAGGCCTCTTGAGTCATACGTGAGTTTCGCGCGCCATCGCTCTCTTCCGGTTGCACGTGTTGACTTGTCTTCCCCGTCACTTATTTTCCATGGGCAATTGCCAACTTGAATTCTACATTTTGGTTTTAAGGTGTGCTTTTGCATGGGATAGAAAGTAAGACACGAGACCGGTGGTTTAATCCCATCTAGCGGGTAAATATTTATGTAAAATACCGAGAATTCAGATACTGCCATGGGATGTACTTGAGTTAAAAAATACGGGAATGAAATTCTATACAATTATACTAAAAGCTTTGCTTCGCTACACCCATAAAAAGAATATTACGAGCTTCGACACAGATCAATTGTTAAGACAAAATTGCTACTTGTTGACTTGTTTGATTAAATGTTAGCAGCTCCTTTGCTATTCATTTTTTGGAAAATATTTATAAGGAAATGGGTATATGTTTGTGGGCACCATAAAAAGTTACTCCTTCTATCTCAAAATGTAAGACATTTTTTGACATTATGATAATGTCAAAAACCGTCTTACATTTTGTGACAGAGGGAGTAGTATAATGTTTCTTGACACTGTTGGCAGCATAATCATGAGTGTAACAGTTGAGTTCAATTTGTTAACCTTTGTAGACCTTCCCAAATTTGTGGCTTAGGAAGAAAAGGGATGAATTTATATGTTTGATAAGTGCTAAAAAGTACCCCCTCTGTAAAGAAATATAAGAGTGCTTAGATCACTAAAGTAGTGATCTAAACGCTCTTATATTTTTCTACGGAGGGGGTAATATTTTTAGTCCTTAGTTGATAACTTGTCATAACATTTTCACTCATAGGTTCCACATCTTCCATGTATAGAGCTTGCTACATTTGTGGCTTAGGAAAAAATGGTGAATGTGTTTATATAAGTGCTAACAAAAATGTTGTGAGTTCTCGGTTGTCATAACATCTTTATTCATAGGTTCCACCCCTGCTAATGTCACAACTCGTGGAATTCATATTAATATGAAAGATATCTCTGAAATCCAAGCTGTAGAGGAATTTAGCTTTACTTTTCAAGGGTAATTAGATACCAAATATATAGAACATTTTGATTTTTAGATAGAAAATATCACCATTCAATCTGCTCACTGTACCTTTTATTTGTTTTTAAACACGTCAACGTATCAGGTGAAAACTCAATTTCAGTGCAGACAGGGAATCTTTCAATTTGAGCTCTCGGATTCAGAATCGACGGGTCAGATTAAATGTGGGATATCCCTCTAATCACTTGAGCATATATCATGAAAAACCCCTCATGACTCCCCTCTGCTTCGTGAACTCTCTCATGCTTGGCGAGCAAGAGGTGGTGGAGGAAGCTCCATTGTTTCCATCGCCGAGGTCAAAGCGGCGACAAAGACGACAATGGCAAGGAATAATTCTCTCCGACCTCTGTCACTACGGCGCACTCTTTGCCGTTGTAGGCGAGTCAAGGGTTAGGCCCTCCGGATCTGGATCTCTAGATTTAGGGGACTCTTGTACATGAGTGAATCCCGTTCGGTACTTTCCTTGGTTCGTGGTTGGTCGGCGATGGCGAGTTCCTCCAAATGGTCATG